TGGGGCTGGCTGGGACATGGAGTGAAGGGCAGACGTGGTTGTCTGGCTCACTGCCCCCCAAAATGGACCCGGCTGAGGGGTCCGGTTCTCTGCACCTACAAGCTGTGGTTTACACCATGTCCCTGTTGTCTAATAAACCTTCTGTTTTACTGGCTGGCTGAGAGTCACGTCTGACTGCGAAGTTGGGGTGCAGGACCCTCTGGCTTCCCCAGGAGCCCCGCCTGAGCGGACTCGCTGTGGGAAGCGCACGGAGGGGCAGGGGAGGCTGAATGCTCTGAGGTCAGACCCAGGAAGGTGGAGCCGGGTGAGCTGTGTGCCCTGCAGATAGTCTGCTCCCATAAAGGAGACTTCCCCAGAGTCCTGACTGGCTTCATGGGCAGCAGTTCCAGAGCATCGCCCAGGGACTCCATGAGACAAGCTTTTATTGGGATGGCGGGGTGTTATTAGGAAGGGTGAGGGAGTCAGGGTCCTGTCCTCAGGAACCTTTCACCTGACTCCTTTGTTCTCCAACCCTTTAGTTCTCACCTCCCAGGGGGGAAGGGCCAGGCCATCAATTCCCAGGAAACAGGGTGTCGGCCATTCTCTGTTTCCACACCCCTGCACACACCTGCCTTCTAGGGCTCTGCAATGATCATACATCCTTACCCCACCCCCTAGATACTTAAGATCTGTTTAGGGGGAAACTGAGGCACCCCCACTATTCAGAGGAACCATTAAGAACAGTCCCGCTTCGTCACATCTCTCCCCCCTTCAAGATCGAACTGAGCGGGGTCACTTTAGTGGGGTGACCTGGGGAAGTTCGAAGCCACCAACGTTCCCATGGATGCCCCATCTCTCCCGTTCCTTGGTGGGAGTTACACCAGGCCCTTACAGTTTCACGCCCTCCCTTAGGTCGGAGGTGGTCGATAGCACTCGCAGGCCGCATGTGGGAAGGTTTATGTGGCCTGTGCCCTTTGGCCACCCCAAAACCCCAGGGGGTCAGGCTGGGATTGGGTCTTCCCCCCAACAAGCTGGCCAAACACAGCCACTTGGTTATAGGACTATTTAACTTTCTTACCAGCTTTCACTTCATCTGAGATCTTCTCAAAGCTCTCCACACTGGGTCTTTCAACAGGAAAGTCAGTGGATCCATTCACAACAGATTTCAGAGGAACAGCCGTGTTAGTCTGTATTCGCAAAAAGAAAAGGAGTACTTGTGGCACCTTAGAGACTAACCAATTTATTTGAGCATGAGCTTTCGTGAGCTACAGCTCACTTCATCAGATGTATACGATGTATACAGATGTATACGAAAGCTCATGCTCAAATAAATTGGTTAGTCTCTAAGGTGCCACAAGTACTCCTTTTCTTTTTTGGGATTTTACATAGACCATAACTGGATGCGACCTAGTTACAGGGCCATTCTTCTGAGCAGACACAAACGTCGGACCCTTCCCTTCCTGGGCTTTAGCTGAATCCCGAACCAGCTCTGAGACAACTGCACGACCCTCAACCATCACAGGCTGCAAGGCCCCTTCTGTCTGCTCCACAGACAAAGAAGAGCCGAACACACTTTCTCCTTTCCCAGACACCCAGCTTGGGATCTCATTCCCCTTGTCCCAGCACACAAGGCCGGTCACAGTCAACTGCTTGGAGATCAGGGTAGCTCCCTCCATAGGCAAGTTGTCACGGAGTCCCTGGGCGATGCTCTGGAACTGCTCCCCATGAAGCCAGTCAGGACTCTGGGGCAGTCGCCTTTCTGTGAGCAGCCTGTCTACAGGACACACAGCTCACCCGGCTCCACCTTCCTGGGTCTGACCTCGGAGCATTCAGCATCCTCTGCCCCTCCGTGCGCTTCCCCCAGCGAGTCCGCTCAGGCGGGGTCCTGGGGAAGCCAGAGGGTCCTGCACCCCAACTTCGCAGTCAGACGTGACTCTCAGCCAGCCAGTAAAACAGAGGTTTATTAGACGACAGGAACATGGTCTAACACAGAGCTTGTAGGTGCAGAGAACCGGACCCCTCAGCCGGGTCCATTTTGGGGGGCAGTGAGCCAGACAACCACGTCTGCACTTCACTCCATGTCCCAGCCAGCCCCAAACTGAAACTCCCTCCAGCCCCTCCTCCTCTGGGCTTTGTCCCTTTCCCGGGCCAGGAGGTCACCGGATTCCTTTGTTCTCCAGCCCTTTAGCTCTCACCTTGCAGGGGGGAAGGGTCCAGGCCATCAGTGGCCAGGAAACAGGGTGTCGGCCATTCTCTGTGTCCAGACTCCTGCACACACCTGCCCTCTAGGGCTCTGCAATGATCATACACCCTTACCCCACTACCCAGACACTCAAGAACTGTATAGGGGAAACTGAGGCACCACCACACTATTCGGAGGAAACTTTAAGACCAGTCCCACTTCGTCACACAAGTCAACACCCCTGACAGACACAGGCACGTTTCCTTCACTGTCCCAATTCTCCACCCAGCTAACAGGTAAGGTCCAGGGACACTCATCTTCCACTCTCCTCTCCTTCCCACCCTGCTGACAGTCATCAGCTCACAAGGCTGCCTAGGCTCATCCAGACTTTCCTTACCAAGCACCTTGCCGCTCCCCACAGATCCCCTGCCCTGCCTGTCTCCCCCCACTCAGCTGGGGTCTCAGCTCCCACTGTGCTCAGCGCTGCCCTTGCTGTCCCAGTGGGGGCAGGCAGCGAGCTCGCTGCTTTCCTCACTGCATCAGAGCCAGCCTGAGCCCCCTTTCCGGTGTGCAAGGGGGCGGGGAGCCCCAGGGGCTGGTTACAGGCAGGCAGGTAGCCTGAGCCTAGCCGCTCCTCCCAGCTGCCAGCCAGGTCATCTGCATTTTCACTGACCATTTCCCTCTCCACTGATTGGTTGCCTGGATTCAAATTCAAACCCTCGGCAGTTACCGGAGCAGGGCCTGGATCCTGTCCCAAAGAGACACAGTCACCCCACAACAGGGTCTCGCAGCTGATATCCCGGAGAACCCCAAAAACCAGCCAGCCCCACCCCTCCTGGGTCTGCACAGGGATCTGGGCCATAGGCAGGGCGAGGGGCTTCGTCCCTGGGACCCTCACCCAGCTCACCCAGCCCCTCAGCATCGGAGGCTGCACCACCCGGGGCCTGACACCAGTTCTCTCTGTCCCAGGATCTCGCCACCCCAGGAATGTCTCCCCACTGACCATCCCCTTCCGCTCCCACTGGGGGTCCGAGGGGCCTGACCCCAGGAAACTCCACACAGACATATAGGTTGGGGTCAGGAGTGGGAGCCTGTCCACCTCCCCACCCATCTGGCTGACGGAGTCTGTGGCCTTGGGACCCAGCAAGGGAGCTAGACACCGGGGCTTTTCCGCAGGGTCCCCCTGGTTCAAATCGCCAGCCTGCTCAAAGGCAGTGGGGTGGCATCCACATCCCCCCCCTCCTTAACCAGGGGCAGCAATTTAGTCTCGAGGTTCCCTGTGGAACTGGCCCCCCGGGGTCTATCCCCACTCACCCCTGGGGGGTCCCCTAGGCCTCTCCCGCCCCACCACCGCCAGTTCATGCTGCTGCTGCTTCTGCAGCTCTTTCTCGGGCTCTCGCTGTCTCTCACAGTCCTCTGGCTCTCTCGGACTCAGCTCCAATCCCGTCCGTCTCCGATCCCCCGATGGGGAACCCGATCGTGAAGACCCTCGTCTGGTCGGGGACAGAAGTCTTGGGGATGCCTGGCTCCCACTCCAGCTGCTCCCAGATCCTGCTATAGCCCCATTTGGGGTCAGGAATCTGTTCCTTAGAGCGGTCATCCTCCTCCAGCTGCACGATGAACTGTGCCTTGGTGAACTTTCCAACGCTCAACCCTCTCTTTCTGCACAGGGTTACAATGTCCTTCTTAAGGAGACGGTGACAGGCCGTCACTCCGCTCTTCCCAAGTTTCTGTGGACTCACAGGCCTGTGTGCTCTCAGCTCCCCATGGTCTCCAGGGAGAACCCCTTGTGTGCCAGCCCTTCTCGAGGTCACCACCTCTCTCCCAGGGTCAAGCTGCAGACTCCTCCACCCCTGGGACCGCTCGCTGCAATCCCCCGGGGGACCCTGTTACTGCAAAAGTCCCTCTCTCTGGTCACACACTCCCATGGGTTAACCGCCCCCGAAACTGCTCCTCTCTGAGCCTTCAGCACGCCTGGTCCTCGTCAATCCCCCTTCGTTTTACTGCTCCCCAGTCACTAACTGCAGGAAGTGCCATCCGTGCGGTGCTGTACATCCCACCGCTCCCACCAGTTGTCACGGAGTCCCTGGGCGATGCTCTGGAACTGCTCCCTATGCAGCCAGGCAGGAGTCTGGGGCAGTCGCCTTTCTGGGAGCAGCCTGTCTACAGGACACACAGCTCACACAGCTTCCACCTTCCTGGGTCTGACCTCGGAGCATTCAGCATCCTCTGCCCCTCCGTGCGCTTCCCACACCGAGTCCGCCCAGGCGAAGTCCTGGGGGGGCCAGAGGGTCCTGCCCCCCAACTCTACAGTCAGATGTGACTCTCAGCCAGCCAGTAAAACCGAGGTTTATTAGACGACAGGAACATGGTCTAAAACAGAGCTTGTAGGTGCAGAGAACCGGACCCCTCAGCTGAGTCCATTTTGGGGGGCAGGGAGCCAGACAACCACATCTGCCCTTCACTCCATGTCCCAGCCAGTCCCAAACTGAAACTCCCTCCAGCCCCTCCTCCTCCTCTGGGCTTTGTTCCTTTCCTGGGCCAGGAGGTCACCGGATTCCTTTGTTCTCCAACCCTTTAGCTCTCACCTTGCAGGGGGGAAGGGCCCAGGCCATCAGTGGCCAGGAAACAGGGTGTCGGCTATTCTCTGTGTCCAGATCCCCGCACACACCTGCCCTCTAGGGCTCTGCAATGATCATACACCCTTACCCCACCACCTAGAGACTTAAGAACTGTTTAGGGAAACTGAGGCACCCCCACACTATTCAGAGGAACCATTAAGAACAGTCCCACTTTGTCACAGTGCCCCGCCCTGCTACACAGCCCCCCTACCCCCAAGCAGGCTTCCAGTGACCTGACCTCCGACACCCCCGCCACCGTTGCTTCTCCTCCTTGTCTTTGTCTCGCTTCCCGGGCAAAGAGTCACCTGGTTGCAGCCCCCTCCTGGGCCTCAGGTTATGAAGGGCACCGGAGCCACCTCACCTGCCCCCGAGGGTCTCAGCCAAAGTCCCAGACCCCTATTCCCACCACCAAAGCACTGGTGCAGCACACAGGGAAACTGAGGCACACAGAGTATTAGCGTAGGACAGTAAGACTCACATGCCACATAACAAGATGAATAAAACCCCGCTTTGTCACGGGGGACCCGCTGGGGGGTGCCCTGAGATTTCTCTTCCTTCCCCACCTCCCACCAAGAGTCTGTGGCATCCGGACCCCTGGGTTCACAGCAGGGATCTCCTGAACTCCAGCCCCCCAGGACAGTCCATGGTGCCCGGATGCCTGGGTTCACAGTGGCGGGGGGGGGGGGGAGTCCATGGTGCCCGGATGCCTGTGCTCGCAGCTGGGTGTCCATTCTCCGCAGCTGATGTCCTCGCTCGCTGGGGTCGGGGGGTCAGTCTGGGGGCAACAGGCAGATTCAGGACACGCAGCTGTAATATCAGGGCAAGCCGGGGTGGGGGGGGCGTGCAGCCCCCCACAGCCACCAGCCAGCCCCAGTGTGTGTGGTGGGGAATAAACTCCTTCATCACTCCACCCTCCCCAGTTGGCTCTGGCCGTTTCTCGGGGGCGGAGGGGTGGAAACCCGGGAACTCCATGCAGGGGGGAGGACACCTGGGGGGCCATGCTCCAGCATCGGGGGAGGGGCCCCATAGGGACTATTGGGGGCGGGAGGAGCAACTGGGGATCAAGGGAAGGGGGTTCCCATGGGGAGAGTGGGGGCAGTGCAGGGGGGAGCACCCTATAGGGGGAGCCCAGGGCAATGGGAGGTGGTTACTGCTGGGGGGCAGGAGGCACTGGGTGGGATACAAGGGCAGGGGTGTGGATGGGGGGGTCACTCACCTGATTTGAGTGGGGGGGGGGCGGGGCGGTTCTTTCCCAGGTCGCTCTGAGCCAGGGTGTCCACCATCCAGGAGAGGGCGCTGGTGCACTTCTCCATCTGGGGGGGAGTGGGGCAGGTGCTGAGGACCCCGCAGCCCCTCACCCCAGGATCCCCCCACCTCAGCTGTCCCCCCCTTCCCCCGGACCCCTTAGCCCCCCTCTGCTGCCCCCATTGCCCCTCCTGACCCCCCACATGACCCCTTCTGACTCCCCCACCTCAGCCGCCCCCCCTTCCCCCGGACGCCTCAGGCCCCCTCTGCCACCACCTTTGCCCCTCTTGACCCCCCACACGACCTCTCCTGATTCCCCCACCCCTTCTCTATTATCCCCCCCGAGATCCCCCTGTCTTTGTACCCCACGTGTCCCCCAACCCCGTACCTGGGTCTCCAGGGTCTTGAGCCGTCGCTCCTGCTCCCGGACCTCAGCCAATTGCTTCAAGGCCTGGTCGACCCTGCATGGGGGAGGAGATGGGGGGTCACTTGGGGGGGCCCCCTGATTCTTCCCTGGATCTCCAGGTGACCCCCAACTCCAATGCTCTCCCCCCCATACTCACCCCAGCCCCAGATTCACCGTTCCCTCCCTGAACCCCCAACCGCATACACCCCAGCTGCTCAATGCACCCCTGATCCCCCATACTCACCCTGCCCCTTCCTCCCTGCACCCCCATACATCCCTCTTCTCCAGCCCCCCCCCAGCCCCCCTCACTTCTGAGACGTCCGCCGGAGCCGTTCGGTGTCGCTGTCCCGTTTCTGGCGGCCCAGGGCTACCAGGTAATTCTCCTTCTGCACGGCCTCCCAGGTGAGCAGCTGGGCGTCCTGCTCCGGGGACAGGTCCCGCGCTGGGGACCCAGGCGTCCGGGCGGGGGCGGGGGTGGGGGGAGGCAGACACATGAAAAGCAGGTGGGGGCCAGCTCCAGCCCCACATCAACTTGGTGACCCCCCCGAAAGACCCGCAGAGCGACCCTCAGATCTGCCCCCCCACCCCCTCCCAGCACTGCCCCCTCCCTCCAAACCCTTGTCCCTGCCCCCCACAGCACTGCCCCTGGTCCTGCCCCACCCCTGCTAGGAGCCCCCCCCCGCAGCCACTCACCAAAGTGGCGGCTCTTGGCAGAGCCCCCCGGGCCCGGTGGCGCAGCAGCTGGCGCAGGTGGCTGATGATGATGAAGGGGGGGCCAGGGCCGGCCGGTTGTGATACTCCAGGATCAGGCTGTAACGCTGCGACTTCCAGTAGGTGTCGCTGTTGCCCTGCACCTTGGCAAAGGTGTAACTGGGGGGGTGGGGGGGAGGGGGGATGTCAGACGGGCAGGGGGGCAAAGGGACACTAGGCTGCCCCCCACCAGGCCCTCGCACGCTCATCAACTCACCCTCTGCATGCACTAGTGCACTGGGGCCTCGCACGCTCATCAGCTCTCCCTCTGCATGCACTAGTGCACTGGGGCCTCGCACGCTCATCAGCTCTCCCTCTGCATGCACTAGTGCACTGGGGCCTCGCACGCTCATCAGCTCTCCCTCTGCATGCACTAGTGCACTGGGGCCTCGCACGTTCCTCAGCTCTCCCTCTGCATGCACTAGTGCACTGGGGCCTCGCACGCTCATCAGCTCTCCCTCTGCATGCACTAGTGCACTGGGGCCTCGCACACTCATCAACTCGCCCTCTGCATGCACTAGTGCACTGGGGCCTCGCACGTTCCTCAGCTCTCCCTCTGCATGCACTAGTGCACTGGGGCCTCGCACGCTCATCAACTCGCCCTCTGCATGCACTAGTGCACTGGGGCCTCGCACGTTCCTCAGCTCTTCCTCTGCATGCACTAGTGCACTGGGGCCTCGCACACTCATCAACTCGCCCTCTGCATGCACTAGTGCACTGGGGCCCCGCACATTCCTCAGCTCTCCCTCTGCATGCACTAGTGCACTGGGGCCTCGCACGCTCATCAACTCGCCCTCTGCATGCACTAGTGCACTGGGGCCTCCCACGTTCCTCAGCTCTTCCTCTGCATGCACTAGTGCACAAGGGCCTCACGCTGGTCAGCTCTGCCTCTGCACATGCGTGTGCATTGGCACCTCGCACAATCGTCAGTGTGTCCTATGCACATGCTAGTGCACCAGGGCTTGCACGCTCATCAGCTCACCCTTTGTCCGTGCCGGTGCTCCAGGGCCTGGCACATGCGGCAGCTCACCGCCCGCACACACCAGTGCACGGGGGCCTTGCACAATTGTCAGCTCACTTTCTGCACATGCTCGTGTACCAGGCCTTGCATGCTTGTCAGCTCACCCTCCACCCTCACTTGTGCCCTGGGGCCTTGCACACTCCTCAACTCTCCATCTACACATTCTAGTGCACTGACATGTCAACTCACTATTCACACATTCTCCTTGCACTAGTGCCCGGCACCATCCATGCTCGCCACACGCACTCATTCACTTGACCCCTTGCGCACATCTTAACGCAGGGTACACGTGCCCCACTGCGCCCTGCCCCTCGGACACTCCCCAACTCACTGCGCACCCCCGGGGCCCGCCAGGTGGTACCTGAACATGGCAATGAGCAGGTTGAGGAGCAGGATGTTGGCGACGAGGAGGAAGATGACGAGGAGAACCAGGACCAGCCAGTTGGCGTAAGTGTTCATGCAGGGCGTGCCCTCCTTCGCCCCCGAGTCGTCCGTGCAGTTCGACCCCGCGATCTGCGCTGCTGGGGGTGGGGGGGGTTGAGATCTGTGAGCCAGCCAGTCCCCGCCCTGGGGCCAGATGGGAGCTGGCGCCCCCTAGAGGGGACAGGCTGCTCACCCCATTCCCCGCCCCCCCTGAGCCAGCCAGTCCTCGCCCCGGGACCAGATGGGAGCCAGCGCCCCCTAGAGGGGACAGGCCCCGGGCCCCACGCCCCGCCCCCCTGAGCCAGCCAGTCCCCACTCTGGGGCCAGGGGGAGCCGGTGCTCCCTAGAGGGGACAGGCCCCATGCCCCATTCCCTGCCCCCCCTGAGCCAGCCAGTCCCCGTCCTGGGGCTGGGGGCAGCCATGCCCCGCACCATCGATCTCGTTGAGCGGGATCTGGCCGAAGATCTGCAGGTAGGGCCGGTAGAAGACACGGCGGAAGATCCAGGCCAGGCGCTTGTCACTGGGGTGCAGCAGCCCCTCGGTCGTCACCCCGTAGGCCACCAGCCAGACGGCCAGGAAGAAGAGGAAGAGGAAGACGTCCTTCATCTGTTGGGGGGGGAGCATGAGCACCTGGGATGGGTCCCCCCCCAACCCTCCACTGGCCCCCACCTGGTCAGACCCCCCACAACTCCCACATCCCCTTCCTGGTCAGATCCCTCACTGCCCCCATAACCCCCACGAGGCCCCCACATCCCCATCCTGGTCAGACCCCAACTGCCCCCCACATCCCCCTCCTGGTCAGAGCCCCTGCACTGCCCCCATAACCCCCATGAGCCCCCCCCCCATATCCCCTTCCTGGCCAGAGCCCTCCACTGCCCCCCTCAACACAAGGATCCCCCCAAACCCCACCTCCACGCCCTTTCCCACCCTGCCCCCCCCTTTTCCGTCCGTCCCTCAGCCCCTTCGATCCCCCGCTCACCATCTTGCCCGCGATGATCATCTTGGGGCCCAGCTGTTTGTTGACGGCGAAGATGTGGATGAGACGTAGGGTGAAGACCATGAAGTCCAGGCAGAGCACGGTGCGCCCCAGCGGGTAGGTCCCTTGAAACATCCTGTGGCGGGGGAAGGGGGGTTGAGCCGGGTCCAACCTCCCCAGCACAGCGGGGAGCTGCCCCCAATCCCCTCCCCAAACCACAGCCAGGGACCCCAGCTCAGTCGGGGGGTGATTCTGGGCCGAGGTGGGGGATGGGTCGGGGACCCCAACACCCTCCCCACTCACAGCTGGGGCCATGCGGTGTGACTCTGTGCCGGGGGGGCAGGTACGGAGCCATGGCTGGTGGGATGGGGGCAACTGGGGTGGGGGGGCGGCACCATGCCTGGGCAGGGATGGGAGACTGCGGGTGCCAGGGGCTGGAGGCACCGTGCCCAGGCAGGGGGATGGGGAGATGGGAGGCTGCGGGTGCCAGGCCCACGGGGGTGCTGAGCGAGGAGGGAGCGGGAGGCTGCTGGTGCCAGGCCCACGGGGGTGCTGAGCGAAGAGGGGACGGGAGGCTGCTGGTGCCAGGCCCACGGGGGTGCTGAGCGAGGAGGGGGCGGGAGGCTGCGGGTACCAGGCCCACGGGGGTGCTGAGCGAGGAGGGGACGGGAGACTGTGGGTGCCAGGGGTAGGGGGCACTATGCCCAGGCAGGGGGATGGGGAGATGGGAGGCTGCGGGTGGGGGGTGCTGAGCGATGGGGAGACGGGAGGCTGCGGGTGCCAGGCTCACGGGGGTGCTGAGCGAGGAGGGGGTGGTAGGCTGAGGGTGCCAGGCCCACGGGGGTGCTGAGCGAGGAGGGGGCGGGAGGCTGTGGGTGCCAGGCCCACAGGGGTGCTGAGCGAGGAGGGGGCGGGCGGCTGCGGGTGCTAGGCCCATGGGGGTGCTGAGCGAGGTGGGGACGGGAGGCTGCGGGTGCCAAGGGCTGGGGGCACCGTGCCCAGGCAGGGGGATGGGGAGATGGGAGGCTGCGGGTGCCAAGGGCTGGGGGCACATGCCCAGGCAGGGGGATGGGGAGATGGGAGGCTGCGGGTGCCAGGGCAATGGGGGTGCTGAGCAAGGAGGGGACGGGAGGCTGTGGGTGCCAGGGGCTGGGGACATCAGGCCCCGGCAGGGGGATGGGGAGATGGGAGGCTGCACGTGCCAGGGGCTGGAGGCACCGTGCCCAGGCAGGGGGATGGGGAGATGGGAGACTGCGGGTGCCAGGGGTAGGGGGCACCATGCCCAGGCAGGGCGATGGGGAGATGGGAGGCTGCGGGTGGGGGTGCTGAGCGATGGGGGGACGGGAGGCTGTGGGTGCTAGGCCCATGGGGGTGCTGAGCAAGGGGGAGATGGGAGGCTGCGGGTGCCAGGCCCATGGGGGTGCTGAGCAATGGGGGGCTGGGAGGCTGCCGGTGCCAGGGGCTGGGGGCACCATGCCCAGGCAGGCGGATGGGGAGATGGGAGGCTGTGGGTGCCAAGTGCTGGGGGCACCGTGCCCAGGCAGCGGGATGGGGAGATGGGAGGCTGTGGGTGCCAAGTGCTGGGGGCACCGTGCCCAGGCAGGGGGATGGGGAGACGGGAGGCTGCGGGTGCCAGGGCCATGGGGGTGCTGAGCGAGGAGGGAACGAGAGGCTGCGGGTGCCAGGGGCTGGGGGCACCATGCCCAGGCAGGGGGATGGGGAGATGGGAGGCTGGGGGTGGGGGTGCTGAGCAGTGGGGGGACGGGAGGCTGTGGGTGCTAGGCCCATGGGGGTGCTGAGCAAGGGGGAGATGGAAGGCTGTGGGTGCCAGGGGCTGGGGGCACCATGCCCAGGCAGGGGGATGGGGAGATGGGAGGCTGCTGGTGGGGGTGCTGAGCAGTGGGGGGACGGGAGGCTGTGGGTGCTAGGCCCATGGGGGTGCTGAGCAAGGGGGAGATGAGAGGCTGCGGGTGCCAGGGGCTGGGGGCACCATGCCCAGGCAGGGGGATGGGGAGATGGGAGGCTGGGGGTGCCAAGGGCTGGGGGCACCGTGCCCAGGCCAGGGACGTGGGGGGACAGGGGACGGGTGGCTGGGGGCTTCGCCCAGGCCCGCTGGGGTCTCACCGGCAGACGGCCCCCAGCAGGAAGAGCCCCAGGGCGGTGAGGTCGAACTGGTTCCAGGGGTCCTGCAGGTAGGCGCGGGCGCGCTGGGCCAGCGGCCGGCTCCCGGTGAAGCAGCCCTGGCGGAGCTCCTCGCACAGCAGGGTGAAGACCCAGGCGTAGAGCAGGACCTCGGCGGCGTGGGGGCCTTCGGGCGGGGGGCGCGGGAAGTCCAGCAGCAGCACGTAGGAGAAGAGCAGCAGGAAGAGCAGGTACATCACCACGTTGCCCAGGAAGGCTGTCACCGGCGCCCCCCAGAACCGGCGCCAGCCCCAGAGCCAGGCCCAGCCCGGCCGCCGGGGGGAGCTCAGCGAGGACGCCGACCTGCGGAGAGCGGGGTCAGATCTCAGCATGGGGGGGCCATGGCCATGGCGGGGGCTCTGGCTTGCAGGGGTGGTTAGATCTCAGCATCGGGGATTCAGCCATGGGGAGGTCTCTGAGCTGCAGGGTGTGTGGGGGGGTCAGATCTCAGCATGGGGGGGTGACACCCTGTGTCACGAAGTGTGGGGGAGTCAGGGCCTTGCACCCACCTCTTCCTGCGATTCACCGTGACTCTCACCAGCCAGTAAACTGGAAGGTTTATTGGACAACAGGAACACGGTCCCAAACAGAGTTTGTTGATACAACTGGGACCCCTCAGATAGATCCTTCTGGGGGGCAGGGAGCTTAGACCCCAGCCTTGGGGTTCCCTCCATTTCCCCTGTCCACTCCCAACTCAAGACCCCCTCCAGCCGACTCCTCCAGCCTCCCCCCGGCTCCTCCTCCAGCCTTTCATAGAATCATGGAAGATCAGGGTTGGAAGGGACCTCAGGAGGTATCTAGTCCAACCCTCTGCTCAAAGCAGGACCAATTGCTTCCCGGGCAAAAAGGTGTCACCTGGCCCCAACCCCCCCCCCCCCCCCCCGGCTCAGGTTACATGCTCAGGCATCATCCCTCCAGTGAAGCCCCCCCTGCTATCCCCAGTAAAACTCCCCCGCAACATTCCCAGGTCAATCCGCCCCACTCCCTGCTCCGTCACACCCTGGCACCCCAAAATCCGCCACGGCCACGGAATGAGGATGTGTTTTGTGCCAAATCTGCCTTGTGAGGTATCATTCGAAAAGTCTCGATCTGCTGGACACTAATATCGCTGTGTGGTGTGTGCAGCTGTCGCATGAGAAGTTATGAAGTTTGCGAAGTGGGAATGTTCTTAATGTTTTCTCTGAATACTGTGTGGGTGCCTCAGTTTCCCCTATGCAGTTCTTACGTATCTAGGTGGTGGGATAGGGGTGTGTGATTATTGCAGAGCCCTAGAGGGCAGGTGTGATGCCATCTGCACAAAGAATGGCCGACACCCTGTCTCCTGGCAACTCATGGCCTGGCCCGGCCCCCGCTGCAAGGTGCCAGCTGAAGGTGTTGGAGAACAAAGAGATCCGGTGGCCTCCTGGCCCTGGGGAGAGACAAAGGCCCGAGGAGGGGCTGGAGGGAGTTTCAGTTTGGAGCTGGCTGGGACCTGACTGAGGGGGTCCTGTTTTCTGCACCTACAAGCTCTGGTTTGGGCTGTGTTCCTGTCGGCTTATAAACCTTCTGTGTTACCGGCTGGCTGAGAGTGACGGTGAATCGCAGGAAGTGCAGGGTGCAGGGCCCTGACTCGCCCACACTCCGTGACAGTAAGTGTCTGTGTTACTGAAACATGTCACGAGGTTGGGGACACCCACAAGCCTCCTTTCCGGTATGCCGGTAAAAAGGCCAACCAATGCTAATGGCTCGTTGAGGAAAAAGCCACACGCACAAGGGTCACCCCAGGAACTGGGTACGCTAGAAACCTCTCCGACACAATGGGAACTGTTTGACCCGGCTCACAGCAAGAGAGTTTTCCAGCAAGGGGGGAGAAGGTATCAAAGGGGGACAATGACATCACGGGGGGACCTCACTGTCCCTGCAACACCTGGAAACACCTGAGGGGCAAGGACTGAACTGGGGGAAGTGCAGGTCCCAGGCTAGAGGGATTTCTAGCCTGTGTATGAAAACCTGGAGAAACCAAGGCAGCTTGTGCCATCAGAATCTGCCAGCCCGTTTATTGCTCCGGGGGAGAATTTGTTCATTCATCTCCTGTCTATCTAGCATGTTAAGCTCAGTTTGCGGTTTTGTTTATTTGCTCGGTAATCTGCTCTGATCTGTTTCCTATCCCTTGGAATCTTTTGCAGTTAATAAACCGGTTTTTGTTCTGCTAAACCCAGTGTGTGGAAATGATCACAGGGGGCAGGAAGCTGTCCATATCTCTCTCCACATTAAGCGAGGGGGCGAATTTCAGGAGCTTACGCTGTGCAGTGCAAGACGGGATCACTTTGGGTTTACACTCCGGGGGTGGGGGTGCCTCAGGAACTGGGAGGGGACTTAGCTGAGCCTGATCACAGCATCTGTGTGTGTAGCCGCAGCTGGGTGTGTCCCGACCTGGGTGTGTGCTGGTGGAAGTGTAGGACCAGGAGCGGGTCTGCTCTGATCTGGGACGGGACAAGGGCAGGACCCCTCAGCACCATGGGATCCAATGTATGAGGCACCCCAGCCCCCTCCCCCCCGGGCTGCCCCCCTTACCCCATGAGGATCTCCTCCACGGGGCATTTCCCGTCGGCATCCAGGTTCTCCAGGGTGTGGGGCTTCTCCTGCTGCAGATCCTCCTCCATCGCCCTGGGGGGTGGGGGTGGGGAGAGAGATAGACTGAGTTTGGGTCCTCGGTGCTGCGAGCTTCGTCCCAGCAGTGCCCCCAGTTGGGGACCCTGACGCTGCAAGCTTCCTCACAGAAGTGCCCCTAGACGGGGATCCTGGCGCTGCAAGCTTCCCCACAGCAATGCCCCAGCCAGGGACCCCGGCGCTGCAAGCTTCCCCACAACAGTGCCCCCTTATGTAGCTGACCCCCTCCCCAGCACCCACCTGAAGGTGATGAGGTTGGTGAAAATGAGGGGGGGGCAGAAGAAGGTGAGGAGGAGTTTCCAGACGGGCGTGGACCTTTCCATCTCGCCCCACCAGTTCTGGGTCAGCAGCGCCTGCGGGCAGCGGGAGGGAGGGGAGGTTAGCACTGGGTGGGGGTCCCTTCTTACCCAACCCCCCCCTGGTCCCCTCTCCAAATCTTCCCCCTCCCCCTGTACCTGCACCCCCCCATACCCACACCTGCCTCGTACCCGCCCCCCGTACCCACCTCTATACCTGCCTCGTACCTGCCCTCCCAAACCTGCCCCGCCCCCATACCCGCCCCCCCGTACCTGCACCTGCCTTGTACCTGCCCCCCCGGATCCACCCCCTATACCTGCCTCGTACCCGCCCTCCCATACCCGCCCCGCCCCCGTACCCGCCCCCCCATACCCACACCTGCCTCGTACCCGCCCCCCGTACCCACCTCTATACCTGCCTCGTACCTGCCCCCCCAAACCTGCCCCGCCCCCATACCCGCCCCCCCCGTACCTGCACCTGCTTTGTACCTGCCCCCCCGGATCCACCCCCTATACCCGCCTCGTACCCGCCCTCCCATACCCGCCCCGCCCCCGTACCCGCCCCCCCATACCCACACCTGCCTCGTACCCGCCCTCCCATACCCGCCCCGCCCCTGTACCCGCCCCCCATACCCACACCTGCCTCGTACCCGCCCTCCCATACCCGCCCCGCCCCCGTACCCGCCCCCCCATACCCACACCTGCCTCGTACCCGCCCTCCCATACCCGCCCCGCCCCTGTACCCGCCCCCCATACCCACACCTGCCTCGTACCCGCCCTCCCATACCCGCCCCGCCCCTGTACCCGCCCCCCCGTACCTGCACCCCGTCGTGGGCAAAGAAGCACCGGGCCTCGGCCAGCCAGGCGAGCTGCAGGCAGGTGGCGCCGCCCCAGAGGTGGGAGCGACGCACGAGGAGCTGAGAGGCCCGAGACTCACTGTTCCCATAGCACTCGCCGAACACGCCTGGGGGATGGGGGGGGGTCAATGGTGACACCCCCGGGACCTCCCAGCCCCCCTCGCACCCCCGTATCACCCCCTGCACCCCTGTACCACCCCCTGAACCCCCTGTATTGCCCCCTGCACCGCCATATCACCCCCTGCACCCCCCGTATTGCCTCCTGCCTGCCCATCCCCCCTTCGCCCCCCCATACCTCCCCCTGCACCCCTGTACCACCCCCTGCACCCCCCCGTACTGCCCCCTGCACCCCTGTACCACCCCCTGAACCCCTCTGTACTGCCCCCTGCACCCCCATATCACCCCCTGCACCCCCCGTATCGCCTCCTGCCTGCCCATCCCCCCTTCGCCCCCCCATACCTCCCCCTGCACCCCTGTACCACCCCTGCACCCCCGTACTGCCTCTGAACCCCCGTACTGCCCCCTGCACCCCTGTACCACCCCCTGAACCCCCTGTATTGCCCCCTGCACCGCCATATCACCCCCTGCACCCCCCGTATCGCCTCCTGCCTGCCCATCCCCCCTTCGCCCCCCCCATACCTCCCCCTGCACCCCTGAACCACCTCCTGCACCCCCCGTACTGCCTCTGAACCCCCGTACTGCCCCCTGCACCCCTGTACCACCCCCTGAACCCCTCTGTACTGCCCCCTGCACCCCCATATCACCCCCTGCACCCCCCGTATCGCCTCCTGCCTGCCCATCCCCCCTTCGCCCCCCATACCTCCCCCTGCACCCCTGAACCACCCCCTGCACCCCCCGTACTGCCTCTGAACCCCCATACTGCCCCCTGCACCCCTGTACCACCCCCTGAACCCCCTGTATTGCCCCCTGCACCGCCATATCACCCCCTGCACCCCCCGTATCGCCTCCTGCCTGCCCATCCCCCCTTCGCCCCCCCATACCTCCCCCTGCACCCCTGTACCACCCCCTGCACCCCCCATACTGCCTCTGAACCCCCGTACTGCCCCCTGCACCCCTGTACCACCCCCTGAACCCCTCTGTATTGCCCCCTGCACCCCCATATCACCCCCTGCACCCCCGTATCGCCTCCTGCCTGCCCATCCCCCCTTCGCCCCCCCATACCTCCCCCTGCACCCCCTGAACCACCCCCTGCACCCCCCGTACTGCCTCTGAACCCCCGTACTGCCCCCTGCACCCCTGTACCACCCCCTGAACCCCTCTGTACTGCCCCCTGCACCCCCATATCACCCCCTGCACCCCCCAAATCGCCTCCTGCCTGCCCATCCCCCCTTCACCCCCCCATACCTCCCCCTGCACCCCTGTACCACCCCCTGCACCCCCCGTACTGCCTCTGAACCCCCGTACTGCCCCCTGCATGCCCATCCCCCCTTCACCCCCCATACCGCCCCCTGCACCCCTGAACCACCCCCTGGACCCTCCATACTGCCCCCTGCACCCCTGTACTGCCCCTGCACGCCCCATACCGCCCCCTGCATGCCCATCCCCCATCACCTCCATACCGCCCCCTGCACCCCCATCCGCCCATACTGCCCCCTGCATCACCCCCTGCACCCCCCCTGAACCCCTGTACCACCCCCTGGACCCCCCATACTGCCTCCTGCACCCCTGCCCCTGCATGCCCCATACCGCCCCCTGCACGCCCATCCCCCCATCACCTCAATACCGCCCCGTGCACCCCCCCTGCACCCCCACACTGCCCTGCCCCCCGTCTCCGCCCCCTTCACCGATGGCCAAGGTCTGGAACTTCATGGCCAGCTCCTTCATGTCCACGGCCTCCTGCGCATCCGATTCGAGGTGGGAGAGTTCCCGCAGGATCCGTGCCCCCACCAGCGCCCCCCCCACCGCGTCCGGGGCCTGCGGGGGAGAGGGTTACAGAGAGAGACACCCCCCGGCGACCCCCGGATCTGCGTCCCTGCCAGCACCCCCCCCATGGTACTCCCACCTCCCCCCGAGGGTCTCCCACTCCCCCCAGCACCCCCCCATGGTACTCCAACTCCCCCGAGGGTCTCCCACTGCCCCCAGCATCCCCTCGGGTCTCCCCCCAGCTCCCCTTCCCCCGGGGGTCTCCCCCTCCCCCCAGCATCTCCAGGGGTCTCCCCCCACCCCCCAGCTCCCCGCCCCCTGGGCCCCCCTCACCATCTCCCAGCAGTACGTGGCCATCTCGCCCCGGTTGAGCAGCACAGCCCAGATGAAGAGGTCAGTCCAGGGGTTCCGGGTGCACTGGTCGCGGTAGGGGGGGTCCCCGTCCAGCAGGGGACCCTTCTTCTGGGGGGGCGGGGAGAAAAGGGGGAAGGGTCAGAGCCACGTGGATGAGGAGACCCCTGCTGGCAGCCCCCCCATCTTCCCCCACCTCCCACTGCAACCCTCAGGGTCCCACTCCAGCCTCCTGCCCCTATGCCCCCCCACATACCCCTGCCCCATTGTGACCCCCATCTTATTGCACCCACATACCCCAGCCCCCCAGCATACCTCAGCCCCCTTGGGTCCCCACCCTGCCCCCATCAAGTAACCCGGCCCCCTTGTCCCTGCAGGTACACCAGGCCCCCTGTACACCCCCTCCTCTCGCATCCCTGCCCCCTTTGCCCCCCCGGCCAGCCCCCCAGTGCACCCCCTCCTCCCATGTCCTTGGCCATGTACCCCAGGCCCCCCGTGCTCCCCACCTCCCACGTCCCTGCCCCCCTTGGCCCCTCACATACCCCAGCTCCCTTGGAGTCCAGGGGGTGCAGCCTGGCATAGAAGGGGGCGCAGACGTCGCCCAGCAGCTCGCGGAGCAGGCGGGCCACCTGGGTCAGGGGGCAGTCGGGGGGGGCGCTCCACAAGCTGGTAGTGGGGGGGCTCGGGCCCCCCCTGGCGCCGCGCCAGCAGCTGGTGCAGCAGCGAGGCCTCGGGGATCCCCCGGTACAGCTCCCCCAGGCGCCCCCAGGTCAGGAACTTGCCCAGGTCCAGCCCGTTCTCCACGAACAGACGCACCAGGGCCGGGCGGTCCCCCAGCAGCGCGTCCCGCATGGGCTCCTCCAGCAGCTGGGGCTGCGGGGCGGGGGGGAGAGAACCCAGGTTAGCACCTGCCCTGTGAGCACCAGCCCCGCAAGAGCCCCCAAGGACCCTGGACACCCCCCACCAGAGTGTCCCCCCCTCGCCTCTGTGCTGGCTCCCCTCTCAGCTCCCCATGGGGGTCCCTCCTCCCCCTCAGCTCCTCCCCCGGGGTCTCCCCTCCCCCTGCTCCCCTGGGGGCCCCCAGCTCCTCCCTCAGGGTCCCTGCCCCGCCCCCCCCTCACCTCCCAATGGATGTCTCCACGGAAGAGCTCAGAGCGGGCGATGTCCACGCGGTTCCAGGCCACAGCCAGGCGCAGCTCGTCCAGGTACTGGGTGGCCTCACCGGTCAGGTGGCCGCCTGTGGAGGGGCAGGGGGCGGGATGGCTGTGGTAGCTGTGTGACTCAGTTTCCCCACCCTGGCAGCCTGGCGGGGATGGGGAGGGCTCAGCCCAAAGGCAGGCCGCGTCAATGCAGCTTGAATGTGTCCACATGGGGCTCAGTGGGGAGCCACCGATTGCGCTGAATCCGGGCTGGGGTCTCTGCTGTGGTGGACCAACCTGGGGGGCTCCCTCTCCACCAGACCAGGAGGACAGTCGCTGGGCCCAGCTGCTGTGGGGTGCAGCCAGCCCCATAACCATGAATACTCCGGGAGGTGGGGAGGGTGGGAAGGTGGCAGCGGGGGAGGTGCAGATACCCTGGGGAGGGTGGGGAGATCCCAGGGGGAAGAGCAGCATGGGGGGAACTCTGGGGGGGGCTGGGGAGGGGCGGCTCACCTCTGACCAGAGCTTTGAGCAGCACCGTCTCAAACTCCTCCAGCCCCTCCTCATCCGAATAGACAGTGACCAGGTCCCGCAGCGCCAGGATCTCCTCCACCTGGGGGGGCAGGTCCGACACCCCATGACACCCCCAAACCCCTGCACCCCTCTCCCCACAGCATCAGGATCCACTCCACCTGGAGGGCAGGTCTGACACCCCATGACCCCCCTGCATCCCGCTCCCCGCAACGCCAGGATCCGCTCTGCCTTGGGGGGCAGGTTGGACACCCCATAACCCCGCTGCACCCCTGCACCCCCTTCCCCACAGTGCCAGACTCCGCTCCTCCTGAGGGGCAGGTCTGACACCCCATGACCCCCCCCCCACAGCCCCACCCCACATTGTCAGGATCTGCTCCACGGGGGGGGAGAGGGGGGTGCTCAACATCCCATCACCCCCCGTCACCCCCTCCCTACAGCGCCAGGATCCACTCCACTGGGGAGGGAGGTCTGTAAGAAGTGAAGATTTTCCCCCATTACTGTGACGAAGTGGGACTGTTCCTAATGTTTCCTTTGAATAGTGTGGGGGTGCCTCAGTTTCCCCTAGGCAGTTCTTAAGTATCTAGGTGGTGAGGTAAGCGTGTATGATCATTGCAGAGCCCTAGAGGGCAGGTGTGTGCAGGAGTCTGGACACAGAGAATGGCCGACACCCTGTTTCCTGGCAACTGATGGCCTGGGCCCTTCCCCCCTGCAAGGTGAGAGCTGAAGGGTTGGAGAACAAAGGAATCAGGTGACCTCCTGGCCCAGGAAAGGAACAAAGCCCAGAGGAGGGGGTTAGGGGGCTGGAGGGAGTTTCAGTTGGGGGCTGGCTGGGACATGGAGTGAAGGGCAGAGGTGGTTGTCTGGCTCACTGCCCCCCAAAATGGACCCAGCTGAGGGGTCCTGTTCTCTGCACCTGCAAGCTCTGTGTTAGACCATGTTCCTGTCGTCTAATAAACCTCTGTGTTACTGACTGGCTGAGAGTCACGTCTGACTGCGGAGTTGGGGGGCAGGACCCTCTGGCTTCCCCAGGAGCCCCGCCTGAGCGGACTCACTGGGGGAAGCGCACGGAGGGGCAGAGGATGCTGAATGCTCCGAGGTCAGACCCAGGAAGGTGGAAGCCGGGTGAGCTTTGTGTCCTGCAGACAGGCTGCTCACAGGCAGGCGACTGCCCCAGAGTCCTGACTGGCTTCATGGGGAGCAGTTCCAGAGCATCGCCCAGGGACTCCGTGACAACTGGTGGGAGCGGTGGGATGTACTGCACCCCGTGGACAGCGCTTCCTGCAGTAAGTGACTGGGGAGCAGTAAAACGAAGGGGGATTGACGGGGACCAGGCGTGCTGAAGATTCAGAGAGAGACGGTTTCAGGGGGCGGTTAACCCCTGGGAGTGTGTGACCAGAGAGAAGGACTTTTGCAGTAACAGGGTCCCCCTGGGGATTGCAGCGAGCGGTCCCAGGGGCGGAGGAGTCTGCAGCGCGACCCTGGGAGAGAGGTGGTGACCTCAAGAAGGGCTGGCACACTAGGGGTTCTCCCTGGAAACCGTGGGGAGCTGAGAACACACGGGCCTGTGAGTCCACAGAAACTTGGGAAGAGCAGAGTGACGGCCTGTCACCGTCTCCTTAAGAAGGACATTGTAACCCTGTGCAGAAAGAGAGGGTTGAGCGTTGGAAAGTTCACCAAGGCACAGTTCATCGTGCAGCTGGAGGAGGATGACCGCTCTAAGGGACAGATTCCTGACCCCAAATGGGGCTATAGCAGGATCTGGGAGCAGCTGGAGTGGGAGCCAGGCATCGCCAAGACTTCTGTCCCCGACCAGACAAGGGTCTTCATGATCGGGTTCCCCATCAAGGGATCGGAGACGGACGGGATTGGAGCTGAGTCCAAGAGAGCCAGAGGACTGTGAGAGACAGCGAGAGCCCGAGAAAGAGCTGCAGAAGCAGCAGCAGCATGAACTGGCGGTGGTGGGGCGGAGAGGCCTAGGGGACCTCCCCGGGGTGAGTGGGGATAGACCCCGGGGGGCCAGTTCCGCAGGGAACCTCGAGACTAAATTGCTGCCCCTGGTTAAGGAGGGGGGGATGTGGACGCCACCCCACTGCCTTTGAGCAGGCTGGCGATTTGAACCAGGGGGACCCTGCGGAAAAGCCCCAGTGTCTAGCTCCCTTGCTGGGTCCCAAGGCCACAGACTCCGTCAGCCAGATGGGTGGGGAGGTGGACAGGCTCCCACTCCTGACCCCAACCTATATGTCTGTGTGGAGTTTCCTTGGGCCAGACCCTAGGACCCCCAGTGGGAGCGGAAGGGGATGGTCAATGGGGAGACATTCCTGGGGTGGCGAGATCCTGGGACAGAGAGAACTGGTGTCAGGCCCCGGGTGGTGCAGCCTCTGATGCTGAGGGGCTGGGTGAGCTGGGTGAGGGTCCCAGGGACAAAGCCCCTCGCCCTGCCTATGGCCCAGATCCCTGTGCAGACCCAGGAGGGGTGGGGCTGGCTGGTTTTTGGGGTTCTCCGGGATATCAGCTGCGAGACCCTGTTGTGGGGTGACTGTGTCTCTTTGGGACAGGATCCAGGCCCTGCTCCAGTAACTGCCAAGGGTTTGAATTTGAATCCAGGGAACCAATCCGTGGAGGGGGAAATGGTCAGTGAAAATGCAAAAAGAAAAGGAGTACTTGTGGCACCTTAGAGACTAACCAATTTATTTGAGCATGAGCTTTCGTGAGCTACAGCTCACTTCATCAGATGTGATGTGAAAATGCAGATGACCTGGCTGGCAGGGGGGAGGAGGCGGCTAGGCTCAGGCTACTTGCCTGCCTGTAACCAGACCCCTGGGGCTGGGTGGGACAGAGAGATGCTCCCTGCCCCCTTGCACACTGGAGAAGGGGCTCACGCTGGCTCTGATGCTGTGAGGAAAGCAGCGAGCTCCCTGCCTGCCCCCACTGGGACAGCAAGGGCAGCGCTGAGCAAGGGGGGAGATAAGACCCCAGCTGAGTGGGGGGAGACACAGGCAGGGCAGGGGATCTGTGGGGAGCGGCAAGGTGCTTGGTAAGGAAAGTTTGGATGAGCCTAGGCAGCCTTGTGAGCTGATGGCTGTGTCTAGTCAGCAGGGTGGGAAGGCGAGGAGAGTGGAAGAGGAGTGTCCCTGGACCTTACCTGTTAGCTGGGTGGAGAATTGGGACAGGGAAGGAAACGTGCTCGTGTCTGTCAGGGGTATTGACTTGCCTATGGAGGGAGCTACCCTGATCTCCAAGGAGTTGTCTGTGACCAGCCTTGTGTGCTGGGACAAGGGGAGAGAGGTCCCAAGCTGTGTGTCTGGGAAAGGAGAAAGTGTGTCCGGCTCTTCTTTGTCTGTGGAGCAGACAGAAGGGGCCTTGCAGCCTGTGATGGTTGAGAATAGTGCAGTTGTCTCAGAGCTGGTTCTGGATGCAGCTAAAGCCCAGGAAGGGAAGAGTCTGAAGTTTGTGTCTGCTCAGGAGAATGGGTTAGTCTCTAAGGTGCCACAAGTACTCCTCTTCTTTTTGCGAATACAGACTAACACGGCTGTTACTCTGAAACCTGTAACTAGGTCATATCCAGTTAGTGTCTATGTAAAATCCCAGAGTCCAGACAATTCTGGTGCTTGTATTTTGCCTGTTGCTAGTGTGTTGTTGGAAAGGGTGGAGCAACTCTGTCTAATCAGAGTGAGATCCTAGCCAGGGCACAAGGAGAGCATGAAGGTGATGTGATTGTGTTACCTACTGAGGGTGTGGAAACCTGTAGAAAGAAGGAAAAGATTTTCCTGAACTTGTGTGGGGTGAAGGGAAGGAGAATGCTTCTGACCTTTTATCTAGGAAGTCTGTAAATTTTCCTGGAAGGGGATTGTGTAGGAATCCACCGGATGGGCCAGAGGTGATTCTGGATGTAAGGGAGATCCAAAAAGAGTCTGTTGTTGCTCAGGAAAGTGTTCCTCTAGAGCAAGCCCTAGGTAAAGAGGGTAAGAGCAGAATTTCTGGGAGGGGTGAATTGTTGCATAGAAAAGCCCTAGGGAAAGGAATCCTCATGGAGTCTTTGCAAGCAGTTTACTGCCACTGAAGGGTGTGAAAGTGATTTAATCAAGAAAGTTTCAGTTCCTAACAGCCAGAAATTTTCTGTTGTGAATGGATCCACTGACTGTCCTGTTGAAAGACCCAGTGTGGAGAGCTTTGAGAAGGTCTCAGATGAAGTGAAAGCTGGTAAGAAAGTTAAACAGTCCTATAACCAAGTGGCTGTGTTTGGCCAGCTTGTTGGGGAGAAGACCCAATCCCAGTTTGACTCCCTGGGGTTTTGGGGTGGCCAAAGGGCACGGGCCGCATAAATTCCCACATGCGGCCTGCGAGTGCTATCGACCACCCCCGACCTAAGGGAGGGCGTGAAACTGGAAGGGCCTGGTGTAACTCCTACCAAGGAATGGGAGAGGTGCTGGGGCATCCATGGGAACGTTGGTGGCTTCCGAACTTCCCCAGGTCACCGGCTAAAGTGACCCTGCTCAGTTCAATCTCGAAGGGGGGAGAGATGTGACGAAGTGGGACTGTTCTTAATGTTTCCTCTGAATAGTGTGGGGGTGCCTCAGTTTCTCCTAGGCAGTTCTTAAGTCTCTAGGTGGTGGGGTAAGGGTGTATGATCATTGCAGAGCCCTAGAGGGCAGGTGTGTGCAGGAGTCTGGACACAGAGAATGGCCGACACCCTGTTTCCTGGCAACTGATGGCCTGGGCCCTTCCTCCCTGCAAGGTGAGAGCTAAAGGGTTGGAGAACAGAGGAATCAGGTGACCTCCTGGCCCAGGAAAGGAACAAAGCCCAGAGGAGGAGGGGCTGGAGGGAGTTTCAGTTGGGGGCTGGCTGGGACATGGAGTGAAGGGCAGAGGTGGTTGTCTGGCTCACTGCCCCCCAAAAATTGACCCAGCTGAGGGGTCCTGTTCTCTGCACCTGCAAGCTCTGTTTTAGACCATGTTCCTGTCATCTAATAAACCTGTGTTTTACTGGCTGGCTGAGAGTCACGTCTGACTGCGAAGTTGGGGTGCAGGACTCTCTGGCTTCCCCAGGACCCCGCCTGAGCGGACTCGCTGTGGGAAGCTGTGACGAAGTGGGACTGTTCTTAATGTTTCCTCTGAATAGTGTGGGGGTGCCTCAGTTTCCCCTAGGCAGTTCTTAAGTATCTAGGGGGTGGAGTAAGGGTGTATGATCATTGCAGAGCCCTAGAGGGCAGGTGTGTGCAGGAGTCTGGACACAGAGAATGGCCGACACCCTGTTTCCTGGCAACTGATGGCCTGGGCCCTTCCCCCCTGCAAGGTGAGAGCTGAAGGGTTGGAGAACAAAGGAATCAGGTGACCTCCTGGCCCGGGAAAGGAACAAAGCCCAGAGGAGGAGGGGCTGGAGGGGGTTTTCAGTTTGGGGCTGGCTGGGACATGGAGTGAAGTGCAGACGTGGTTGTCTGGCTCACTGCCCCCCAAAATGGACCCAGCTGAGGGGTCCCGTTCTCTGCACCTGCAAG